TGTGCGTCAGGAGCTGTTGACAACAGTTTTCCTTGGCTAGCGAGAACATCTTTACACGTTGATGCGTTGACTGGTTGACAGCGGGATTTGGACCAGGTGGTGAAATTGTGCAGGAAGCATTGCAACTTGCCCGATGAATCCGTCGTATGTTGGTGTCCACCAAGGATCACCTCCTCAGCATACTTCAGAAAGATGGCTTCCTTTGGAGTTGGAACGGAGTTAATGTGCATATAAAATAGGAATGTGGACAAAATACTTGCCTGAACTACACCCGAATTTGTGGCGAGTAAAGAAGAGCTTTTCCTCAACTCTTATTAAACTGCCTACGATTGGCTAATAGTCTGCAAAGAAAAGTACTGACTAAAATGGAACTCCGGAAAATAGCAGATCGTGTAACAGCAGTTAGCGATTTCCACAGCCAAAAGCATTGCTGTAATCTAGGAAGCAGATCTACGTGGGTTTGTTTTTACTATCAAATGATGAAAGGACGGAGTGCACAAGAGAGACTAACGCACCCAAATTAGATCTTGAACTGCGATAGGCGCACCATAAAGGATCGTTTGAGTGGGTTTGGACAAGCATTCTATTAAGTATGATTCTTCCTAATGTGTTCAGTCCATAGACGTACATGCAATCGGCCGGTACTTACAGAATCCTTTCTTTGGCACAGGTGTAATGCGGGCACTTCGCCAACAATCGGCGATCTTATGCTGGTGTAAGCAGATATTGTAAAGTTATTGAAAAGGCTGGCTAAGACATTTGCACATTCCTTGAGGACTGTAGAAGATAGTACTTCAGGACCGGGCACTTTGCACGACTGTATCCGTTTTAATTCCTTGCGAACGTTTATGCTATCTATGGATGTTTAAGATTGTGGGTAGAGTTACAACGGTAAAAATGGCAAGTGCAATGCGGAAACACACATATAACCACAGAAGTTAAGGTTTAATTCCCCCACATCGAGAGCAGTGTGTGTGACAATTCTGACGACTGCACTCAGGTTCTTCAGCATATTCCATATTTCTCCATAGTTCTTCTTTCCAAGTATAGTTTGGATAAAAAATGGTTGAGGTGGCTCATTTCAGTTTTTATATCAGTCGATAAGGACTTTACTAAAGCGGTGTCTTTGCGCTTCTAAGCGTATTCTTTATGTCTGCGTAGTCTTTTAAGGCACGGAGAGAAAACCTATCTTTGCGAATGAATACAGTTTCCATAGGACCACAAATATGGAAGCAAAGTTCAAGTAGTTGGTTAAGTGATCCCAGTACTTAGATACACCGGAGTTGTAAAATTTGTAAAGTCTGTAGTGGTAACAATTTCCTGTAGTAGCTCTATATTTCAGGGAAAATATTGTCTTTGCTGTAACTTGCGATCTCTGCAGCGATTAACGATGTTTTTAATTTGTTTTGATGTAGATTATTGGAGACAAGTTTATGGTGGCATGACCTTAGCTTCCAAGCAGTGCCTTGTTACAAACAGAAAACTTTTTAAATCGTTGACAAATGTTAAGTCTAGGGTTACTTGTAACCTTGTTGTAAACTGCACAATGTTCTTCAGGCCAAGACGGGTAATAAAACTAGTGTCGAATCTACTAAAGTCACCGGTAAAACACATCAAGAAATATATAGTTGTTTAATGACGGTAGTTGTAGAATCGTCATAAAAGTTTTCAACATCAGCTATAGGGCAACTGGGAGAAATAGGCATGTTAGCTAACGGAATCGAACGATAGCTCATCAAGTATCGAGACCAGCATTTCACAAGTAACAGCTAATTTGCTGCGCGTAATGACGAAAAACAATTTTTGTCAACGTGAACCATGAAATATTTATGTATATGATAACGCCACCGCCACGGTTCCTGTGTGTACATGGGCGCTCAAGGCGATGCACTGTAAATCCACCAAGTGCCACAATTGTATCTTCCACGTCGTCGTATGGCCAGGTTTCTTCTAGCATAATGATGCCGTTGAGAGGGTTCGCGACAGCTTGCTAACATCTTAAGCTCTTCTAATTTGCTCACAAGCGAACGAATGTTGGCACTGATCAAAATAAGTATACTCATGCGTCTGTTTTTTCCTTCGAAGTGCAATCTGCCATCCAGCATGGTGCTTTCTTGTGAACCTACTTCGTTATGTGTTGCTTCTTTTACATTATTATTGTACAGACCGATCAGGGAAAAGTGCTAGGTTCACGTTGGTATAAACCCGTAGGTTTTTAAAACGTCGGCAGCGTACGTAATCATGACGCGATTGGTGCAATGAGGAACTAATGAACGGACCCGAGGTAATAAAATAAAGGATGTTAGCGTGTGTGTTGAAAGATCTGGTGAACCAGAATCACAAAGCAGTGCTAAATATGAAGGCCCCTCCCAGATCAGTAAGCAGTATCACTTATTCTGCCGTAGCGCATGGTTCATATTGCTTTCTCAGTGCAGTTGTTTTGTAGAGCACGCAGCTAGTCTTGATGAGCGAAACATTCCTGAAAACGGCGCCACGCAAATCATAAGGACTCACATGAATTACGGTGTATTATTTAAAACAAATGGGGATCAATTATACATGTTCGTATAGAGCTATCACGTCAGCGCCCATATTCATATTTTCTGGTTTTGAAATGAAATCCACGAGTGCATGACAAGCATAGTAGCGGGGAAGCACTGTAAAGAGCCCAAACCGAAAAATAAACTATAAATTTATGTGTGTTAAGAATCACTACTTTACAAGTCTTGCATAGCGGTATGGCGATGTTATCGAAAAGTGTTAATAAAAATACAATTAGCGCTTTTTCAAACGAAAGACTTCGATTTTTATGTTATAGTCCCGCACTGCATAGTTTTACTGCACCAATAGGCGACAGCAAACTGTGTATTCCACGTGTGGGTTAGTATACGTACTGAGTATCTGTCATAAAATGTAGATGTCTATCCGAATGCCGTCTGAACAGCCGAACGTGTTGATTAACAGCTTGATGCATTTCAGACTGCCGAAAAAATCTCAAGTCATACTGAGCCATCACGACCCATCATCCTCATCATCACTCCTACGTATCGTAACGAATTCAAACAAAGCACGCAACCAGACCACAGACAGGCAGAACAAATCCCAGTACGAACCTGAGGATGTCATATCAAACCTTCGCACACGGATTACATGATAGAATATTTAAAGAAAGATTTGCAGAACTATTATTTAGTCAATGCGAGGCAAACCATTAAGAACGCGGTTTGACTGAACTAACTAACAAACGTCATTGACGGATGTAACATCCACTTCTGTCTTGGAGAAAGTCATCCTCTGGGAACGAAACGTTCAACAGGTTGAATTACAGGTTGAGATCTGTGAAGTGGTGGGCAGTTTTTTGTTTGTGCCCTACACTGTGGTGGTTTGTTTCACGTCGGTTGGATTGAGTCCGATATGTTTCCCTACTTTTCTCGCGTTTCTACACGAGGCGGACGTATGTGATCCCAACGCCGCCTCAAGAAGCCGTCATTCAACTCGATGAATTCGAGAATAAAATATTTATTTATTCATTTCTCGCTTGTTACCACGGATGCAGGCTGCCATGACAGTTGGTGGGGAAGTCGAGTATACACAGGATCTCCCGGTTGGAAAATAACGTCGTGATCCCTGTCTACCGTGGCGGTCTTGTTTTGTTTGCATGTGTGCATGTGTGATTGACATCACACGTATCCTCGCGGCTCTCGCCTTTTTGTGGACCATTCATCACCATTTCACTGCATAGCACCTAGCGTGCATTCATTCTACTCGGAATCATCTTCTCTACAAGTTGGACCCATTCCACACGGATTATTCCCATCGCTTAAGCCTCTAGCTTTTGTCTGTGTTTTTCGCGGAGTTTGCCGGGGAATTCACACATAAAACCTCTCCAGTCTGCAGCTTTTCGTGAATTTCTTTTTACAACCCTTCGGATTTTTACATCATTCGATAGAGAAATCTTTCCGCTTGCTAACAAGCCTTCAGTCGCTTCACAGCACCACTGCGCATAACAGTTACAGAAGAAATGCATTTTTAACTTGCGCACTCAAGCGCCCAGCAAGCTTCACGATCGCCATTGCATCTCGGTCAGATCAATGCAATCACTCAGACGACCCAAGCACGTCCTACACGGCCTATTCAAACGTGACCGCATGACGCACAGGCCCATCACGCGTAAGTCGATCAACGTGTCCTCCGACCACAAGCGTACAAGACGGCGAAGCACACCTACCACGCACGACACCAAACTAGCCCGCGAACCGGGCCGTGCCACTTCGCTGCAGCCGACCATGACCAATGTAACAAGGGAAGTTACAAGTGGAGCTGAGTCACTTGCCCAGACAGTGGAATCGGGCCAGCATTGTGCGTTGTGTTCCGTTAATCATAGTCCGATTACTGAGGCTAACAAGCACAACAATCTGTCCGAGTCTGTTTCGTTCTGGCTTAATTGCACAACGGTTCCCATAGTAAAACGCGTAATTGCTTTGTCGAAAGATTACGACCGTCGGATTGCAGAAGTAGAATTACGCCTAAATGAAAGAATTACTTCCTTAGAGGCTATTATAGCAAGGTTTATATCTCCACCATCTCCCGTACTCACCGCCACTAAACCGAAGAAAAGAGCCAGACGTTCTCGCGAAATCACAGCGGCGAATATCTTGGGAACCCCGAACCAATCAGGCATCACGTACGAACAAAACATCCTCAGTTCCTCAGCCATTCCGCCCTTATCCAAAGCCTCGGTAAGAACCAGACTTCCGACTGACCAACAAAGTCTGAGTATCTCTAAAGGCCAATCAACTTACGCAGCGACTATTGCTAGAGACACTGTAAACAAGACTTTAAGCACAATACCTGCGACATGTGTAAAAGACCAAGCACGAAATTCAGAGACTTGTTTTAGTCCATCCATCACGACGTCGCCCACATTACCGAACACCAGGAGGAACTACGGTGCTCTAACACTCATATGCACCAACGTTCCTGAATCCAAAGCAAATTCTATGAGAGGTAAGCAACAGGACGATCTGAACCAGTGGAATCTCATTTGCGATCGCATAGGTGCTAGGGTCAAGCCGACTAACATCACGCGTGTGACGAGACATCCAAACTCCGCTCACTATGGTGAGCCCAGAATTCTGCGGATAACACTGGCATCCACTGACGATGTAGAGGCGGTGCTCTTATCGGCATATCACCTCCGAGGTGAGCGCAGTAAGATCCGCATCTTTCCGGATGTTCCATGGAGCGAACGTCAGCGAGAAAAAAACAATTTAGACGATCGCAACACGGCCAGCTGGCGAAAAACCACTTTAGTTCATGATGTGCCCGAGCTACTAACAGCTAGGGACGAGGAGGCTCATGCTCACGATCTGGAAGAATGGCGGTACATCCGTGAAACTCTATCTGCAGGCGACGTCATCCTTCAGTCGATTTCTAGACTGCCCGTTTCACCTCATTACAAAAGTAATGGTCCAAGTATACTGAAACTTGTGGTTCAGTCCCAGCAGATGGCGGCGAAATTAATGCGTAACTGGCATAAAATGCACAATGCACTGCCATCGGAACTACGATTTAAGCTACCATTTATTGAATCGAAGCCACCGGAGGATGTGACATCACCTGTGGCTCAATGTGATAAAATAAACGGAGCCGAAGACACTGCATCAAGATTATCAACCACTGAAACCGACGCTATTGAAGAGCGTTCTGCGTGTGCAGGAACGACGTTAGGCGGGCTGCAGGCCCGTGCGAAATGTTCATCGATAAACTGCGCAAAAACGATCAGGTGCCGGCCTTTCATCGGCCGGCTTAAATCCAACTTCGTGTAATCCTCCACAAGCTCTTTTGGTGCTCAAGCAGCTGTCCTGTATGTACACTAACGCTCAAAGTCTACTTAACAAACTACCCGAACTGCGACTACGTCAACGGTCCAAATCGTGTGACCTCGTCGCTATAACGAAGACGTGGTTGCGCCCGGATATCACAGACACGGAGGTCGAGCTACCAGGCATGTCCGTCGTTCGGCGCGATCGATCCAGTAAAGGGGGCGGGGTGGCTCTGTACTACCGCAGTGACCTCCAATGTGAGCCCATAGAAGACGTGTACAGTAACGTGCAGGATACTCTTTGGTGTCGGCTGCGTTTAACAGGCAACGACGTCTGTCTGGTGGCGGTCGTTTATCGACCTCCATCCTCTACACCCGAGATGGACTTCAATCTCGCGGCTGCGCTGAGGCTTGTGATCAGCAGTAGATACAGCCATACTCTTATCGCTGGTGACTTCAATATCCACGCTCTGGATGCCCAAGCAACACCTACGGAACAGCTCAAAGCGGATCTACAAGACCTTGTCTCCAGTTTTCCGCTTTATGGCCATATCGACAATCCCACCAGATTCAGAGCAGCAGAAAGGCCGTCCATCCTGGACCGGATATTTACCAACGAAGAACTCATGGTCGAGAAAGTAATCATCGACGCTGCTTTGGGTTGCAGCGATCATGCAGTTTTACTCTTCGATTATATATGCTACGCAGAATACCCTGCGGATACTACACGGGAAAGCCGAGTTATCATACGGTACGATGAGCTGGCTCGACTTGCAGAGACAGCCAACTGGAACTTTCTGACAGACGAAGTACCGACAATCGCATGGCCACATTTCGTCAGCCAATTTAGCACTCACGTCGAAGAGGCATCCGAAACTAAGGTTGTCCACTCGAAGAAGACTGTTTCATTTGTGCGAAGTAGGACACGGAAATGTATGGCAGTGAGGAACTCGGCCTGGCGTATCTATAAGGAACACCCGAGCACGGAGAGCTGGACGGCCTATGCAATTCAACGTAATCATTGCACTCAACTCGTTCGTGAGGATAAACTGACATACCAGCAGCATCTGACGGAGCGCATGGTTTCGAATCATAAGCTGCTCTACCAACATGTAAACAACCTGCGCAAGGTGAAACGGGGAATCCCTCCTCTTCAAACGCCAGATGGCATGACGCTGACTACGGAGGATGCGGCGAACGCCTTGCGGCTGCAATATGCTTCGAACTTTCAATGCATTCCTTGGTCATCTGTTCCTTTGTCAGCAGCTGTTCTACAACCAAAACTTACGCACATAACTTTCACGGCGGGGATGGTATTAAAGAAGTTGTTGTGTATGCGTAAGCACAGCTCTCCTGGAATCGACAACATTCACCCTAAGTCCCTTGCGGTAATGGGAAAAAGTTTAGCAGAGCCTCTGGCACGATTCTTCCAACGCTGCTTCGATCAGATGTATGTACCCGAGATGTGGAAATGTGGGATCATAACCCCAATTCACAAGGGCGGTAGCCGTTCTGATCCAGCCAACTACCGTCCTGTAACCCTTCTCCCGGTCCTGTCAAAGATTATGGAAGCTATTGTTGCTGACGTATTAACAGCCTATCTAGAAGAGTCTGCCTTCCTTGCACATGAACAGCATGGTTTTCGACGGAATCGATCGAGCACCACAAATCTGCTGCTAGCAAGATCGAGTTGGACCAAATTAATTGACAGCGGTGCAGGAGTGGACGTGGTCTACCTAGATTTCTCAAAGGTCTTCGATCGACTAGACCATGGAATCCTGATCTGCAAACTTCAGAGTTTCGGCATTGGTGATCCGCTCCTAGGATGGATCACAAGCTTTCTTCTCCACCGGAGCTTAGAGGTAAAAGTGCGTGGGTCCCTGTCCCACCCAATCCAAGTCGAATGTGGTGTACCACAAGGATCGGTACTGGGGCCACGATTGTTTTTGATGTATATTGACGACATAGCGGCCCTCATTCTTTCCAACTGCCTACTCTATGCCGACGACATCAAGGTCTGGAGAGCGATCAATACACCAGACGACTCCGCAATACTTCAAGAGGATCTGGATAAGGTGTATGCGTGGTCAGTTCAGGACCAACTCCCACTCAACACAGAAAAGTGCAGAGTATTACACTTACGTCACCAATCAGCATTTTTCTATAAACTGGGTGACCATGTGCTTCACACAACTGCTGAGGAAAAGGATTTAGGAGTCTTGATTCAGTCCGACCTTGGTTGTTCAGCCCAGGCAAAGAAAGCATCGAACGCGAGCATTCGAAATTTGGGCCTTCTCCGGAGCACATTTGGACGCTTCGATCCATCCGTTTTTCACCAACTTCTAGGTGCATACATACGACCACACGTGGAGTATGAAATACAAGTCTGGCGGCCGTGGCTAAGGAAAGACCACTCTGATTTAGAGAAACCTCAACGACGCGCAACGAAGAACGTGAAAGGTTTAGGCCAGTTATGCTACGAAGACAGACTGAGATTGCTCGGGATATTTAGTGGTCAATATCGACGACTACGGGGAGATTTGATTTTGGCTTATCAGATTCTGACAGACCCCAATCATACCTGCCGCCATCTGCTGGAGCTCAGTAACAACAACAATCTGAGAGGCCATCATCTGAAGCTGGCAGTGCAGTACAGCCGTTTGGAATGTCGACGGAATTTCTTTTCCGTGCGTTTTTGCCAAGCCTGGAAGGCTCTCCCAGGATCTGTAGTCAGTACATCCAACCTGATCGAGTTCAAAAATCGAGTTGATAGTGCACTCACTTCATTGCACTATCTCCCATAGTACAGTCTAATTTTGAGAGATCCAAAATCCGTACTTTTAAAAAACATTTTCCCCCACGCAAATTTCAACAGTGGATTTATAGTTTGACGCTTCAAACTCAAACACTTTGCCCCATGCGAATTTCAAGGGGCGGTGACTCTTTTAACCAAATACTCCATACCTCATGATCCCCTCCGGAGTTATAGTGGATCATTATTTTGACACTTCAAACTCGGTGAGTCCACAAGCTTGTAGTGACTCGTTGTTAAACGATTTTACTGAATTGGTTTCCATTGAATTTTTCACACTTCTATGATTTTCGCACTGATCACCCTACGGGATTTGTCAAGCTTTAGCTTTTATACCCGCATAAATCCATTGTTCCATTGTTCCATTTTTTAGTTTCCATTTAAGCTGGACGAGTAGGAAATAATAGGTGTAATCTAGTACGAAGTGTTCTACCGAACATTAGCTCTGCAAAATATTTACCCGTGGCTTCTATCGGAGTTATACTGTAGACAAAAACTAATCTATCTAATCGCGTTTGCACGGTTCCTGATGACTGCTTTATCAGGCCTCTTTTTATCGACTGCAACGCCCTTTCGGCTAATCCATTTGACGCATGATGATATGGGACTGTACGCACGTGTTGAATGCCATTGTTCTGCATAAAGCTCTCAAACTCCTTACTGGTAAAACAGGATGCATTGTCTGTACAAACAGTTTCAGGTATTCTGAAAACCGAAAACGATGATCGCACCATTGAAAGGGTTGTTTTAGACGTGGGGTGCGACACTGGATATTTCGAATAGCCATCAACTATCAACAGAAAAAATGTTCCTTTCAAAGAGCAAAGTAATATGAATGCATACGCTGCCATGGTTTTTCAGACCAATGCCAAGGGTGTATTGGACCTGGTGGTTTACTCGATTGATATTGTTCGCAAAGCTCACACGATTTCAGGTAGTTTTCAACTTTGGCATCTAAACCGGGCTACCAGCAATAGCCATGTGCAAGGGCTTTCATTCGGGTAACGACTAGATGTCTATTGTGAAGTTTGTTTAGAATGAATAAGCGCGCCTTAAACGGTGGAATGGAAGGAGAGTTCCGAAATATGCAACCATCGTGTATATTCAGCTCATTTTTCCGAAACCCAAATGATTTTCAAATCAGCCGGAATTCCGCTAGAACAGCCCAGTTTCGTGAAACCTATCACGGAGTGTAGTTTAGGATCCGGATCGGTTCATCGACGTAAAAAGTCACTTGTCAACGGGTTAGTGTCGAGGCACTGCATCAGACGAACTAACTCCACCGATTCGTCTGATACCTCTCCGGGGGTTGCGTGCGGTTACCTACTCAGATCATCCACCGTACAATTGTTAGAGCCTGGGATGCAAGAGCTTTTGTATGCATGCGTAATCAAGATTAGGGCTCATCGTTGCATTCTAGGCGAAAACATGAGATCGATCCCCTTGGATTCATCTAATAAGGAGACCAACGGTTTGTGATCAGTTTAGGTCTCAAAATGACCGCTCCAAATATACTGGTGAAATTTTTTGACACCAAAGATAAGACTTCACGATCCGTTTGTGAGTAGGTTTTTCGGCAGCTGGTAAGGCACTCAAAGCCAAACTACTTGAATGATTTGCACTATCCGGCAGTTTATGACACAAAGCCGATCCAAATCCGTATGCAGAAGCATCACACTGAATGATCAAAGGCTTTTCTATATCGCAGTGAACTAAAACTGGCGATGATACAATACAGTTTTGAGCCCAAATGAAATCGGACTGACGCTCAGCAATTCACAACCAAGCGGTGTTTTTATATAGGAGTGCGTTCAAAGGAGCTAAATTAGTTGATGCCCCCTGCCAAAAAACGACCGTAGTGTGATAAGATTCCCAAGCTTGATCGGACTTCTTCGGCATTCTTAGGCTGGGGTGCCCGTATGATTGGAGATACTTTATCCTGCGAAAAATGCAGACCTTGCTTAGCAGGTTTGTAGCCGAGATAACAAACAGATTCAGACAAAAGCTCACATTTAGACTACTTTAGTTTCAATCGATTCGTTTCCAATCGTTCGCACACAGTCCGAAGTGTCTTTAAATGTCCAGTATCACTTCGGCCAGAAAGCATGATATCATTCAGGTAAGCACAAGTAAATGGTATATCCTACAAGATGCTATTTACAATCTGCCGGGAGATACTGGGGGCGGAGCTTATTTCGAAAGGAAGACTAGTTTACTGAAATAGTCCGACGTGTACAGTTATGGTGGTTACGTGGCGTGCGTCCTCATAAAGTTCAACTTGGGAATTTGCGTGACTAAGATCAAGCTTAGAAAAGTTGTGACCACTGGGTAACGTAGTGTACAAGTCTTCGATGCATAGCAAAAGATACCTTTTCACCTTTTTAGTTTGCTTGACATTTAACATATAGTCCCCACAGATACTGTGGATCAGACGCTTGACGTGCGTGCTCTCGGTTCATTTGGAATAATTCTCGCTAACTTTTCTCTATCTTCTCGCAGCGTAGTCATTGCACGCTCATTCGAACCACATTTACCAGCGCTACACACTGAGCTATCATACGTGGAATTAGCTTATACCAATAAAGATTTAACCATCACTAACCGATTTGATTGTCATCCGCGATTAAACACTAGTGGATAACTCATTCACTATGTGCCCATTGTTCTTCTGTGTACTACCATACGGTGCAGAATTCGCGAGGCACTCCGAAAAGCCTAAGCCTATTCCAATCCGTCGTTTCACAGCGCATCCATTAAGGAATCCGTGATCTCCCCATCTGTCTTCACCGTCGTGTAGTTTCATTTGCTGGCTCCCAAACCAACCGGACCTAACCTTGATCGATCAACCTACCAACATTTCAAAGTGTGCGTGCGAAGGAACACCGGTGACAGCCAGTGCGCCACGCTGACTCACATTTACCTTGAGGCGGGAAGCTGAAGTGACAAACTCGAGCTTAAAACAGCACGCCTACTGTCAACATGTCTCGTATGAAGAGCAAATGCGAATCATATGCTAAAGTGGTAAAGTGGTAAAATATGGTCTAGTGTGTACCATGTGTTTGAAATCCGATCACACTACCTACCTTGCGACGGGGCCGACAAAAACAAAACGGTACACTTACACGGCAGAGTCGTTTTGGTTCTGCCAAGTATGCGATTCTATCTCAGTTGTTAGCTGTCTAGCTGAGCTACTTAAGTGGCGTGAAAGAAAAGAAAAGAAAGAAAGAAAGAAAGAAAGAAGCGGTCGAGCAACTGGTCAGCGCCAGGGTTACACAACTGGGAGGAAACGGACCTGCACTTGTATGTGAAAATAACATCCCGAATTCCCTAGTCGGGCCAAAGAAGAGAGCCAGGCGTCCCTACCTTACCCCAATGACTCAGCTTACGGCAGTACCAAGTCCATTCTCTCTCATATAAGCAAAAACATTTGCTTGCGGGGCGCCTGCCTCAACTTCTGTACAGTGTGTTGCACCTAGTAGTCTGTTCGCCACACAGGAGACCGTAAGCTATAGTCAACCAGCCATACTGAACAACCCGGCAAAGTACGCATCGGTTGCCGCCAAGCAAACACTGGAATGAGCACAGACAGCTTTTGTGCTCGGACTAGGGAAAACTAAAGTGCCGCAGCACGGATGGCACCCATTAGTGCCGTTCACAAATTCACCAAAGACACAGGATACTAAGGCTCCAAATCCAAAACCAGGAGCCACCAGGCGCAACCATGGTGCCCTAAACATTGTATGTACAAATGTCCCCGAATCCAAATCCAATAACATTAAGGGTAAGTTGACGGACGATCGAAATCAGTGGGGTTCCATCTGTACGTCAATCGGTGTTTATGCTAATCCAACGAAATTTAGAAGATTTCTGCGCCACCCAAGCATGTTGCACTACGGCGAACCCCGGTTACTTCGAGTAACACTAAACTCGACAGACGAGACTGAGGCCGTTCTGCTGTCTGCAAATCGTCTCCGCAACGACTCAAGTGGAGTGCGCATACTATCTGAAATTCAGTGGAAAGAACGTTCAGCGAGTCTGGCTAGCAGAGACAGATACAGAAAAAGTTGATAAGAAAACGATGATCGCTCATGGTATTCCCGAGCTTACAGCTTCCTCTTCCGACAACGCGCAGATGCACGGCCGCGAGCAATGGCACTACATCCGGGTAGCTCATTCTCTCGAAAATGTCGTGGCTTTCTTGCTGACAAGGATCCCCATATCAGCAAACTATAAGCGCTGTGATCCCAGGCAGTTAAACCTTATGTTGCAATCGAAACTAAAGGCATAAACCCTTTTAGAATACTGGACTAAATTCAGTAGCAGATTGCAAACAGAAATTCGTCTGAAAGCAGCGAGAACACCAGCACCTTCTAGTGACAATTCAGTGGAGACAAAAGGTTCATTGAAAACGCCAACTTCAGGACCCGACTCGGGGGCGGTTTCAACAATAGCCATAATTATATGGAGGGACACAGCAGAGCTCGAGCAAACACCGGGATCCAGGGCATCTGATAAATGACTATATACCAAATTCGTTTCGAGAGTCTGTAACCCATCCAAAAAGAGATTAGTCGCTGACCTTTTATTGGTCGGCGGAAACTCACTTGCTTAAAATATCCGATCAAACACACTGTTAGCCTCCGAGAAGCTCTCATGAAAGTACACAAAGGCCCAAGTTCTACTCAGTAGATTAGCCGAATTAAGACTTCAACACGCGTCAGCAGCTTGGGACCACATCGCTGTCACCGAAACGTGGTTGCGCTGTGAGATAACGGATGACGAAATGGCGCTAACAGTCATATCCGTTGTCCGGAAGGCTCGAGCTAGCAAAGGTGGTGGGGTAGTCCTCTACTTTCGTAACAACCTGCAATGCGAACGCATAAATGATTAGGAAACCGACCTACATGACCCCATTTGGTGTAGTTTCCGGCTGAGAGGGAACGATCTTGGACTATTGTTTGTTGTTTACCGCCCACCATCGTCTACTCCTGA